CACTGAGATGCTAACTTGCTTCAGAGCAGGCAAGAGAGAAAGAGAGAGAGAGAGAGAGAGAGAGAGAGAGAGAGAGAGAGAGAGAGGGAGAAGGTGGGGGCGGGGAGAACGAAATGGCTACGTCCTGAGAAGTCTTACACCAAGTATGGGGAATATTAAAGAATTTACCTGATAAAGCATGATAGGTTCTATGTGATATCCCAACACAGCTGCAAACGCCTTAGCCACAACAGTTTTGCCACAACCCTGAGGGAATGGAAGAAAGAGGAAACATTTTGAAAGGGTCATGCAAATAATCATTCCAACTGGAGAAGCAACAGTGCCTTTCAGATGACCAACTGTGAGAAAATGATACAAGCAAATATGTTTATTAAATAAAACGGTGCATGCTGATGCAGATTGGAAGGGTGCAATTCATACATTTACAACACGGTACTTACTTTTTGTCCAATCAAACAGATATCCTTAACCATATGAGACTGCATCATTTCAGCCAACAGCTGTTCATGGCTGGAAGTTTTGACAAACCCATCTGCTTCAGACCTCTGGCCTGAGAGCTGAGCCCCAGCAGGAACCTACAAGAAAGGTTACAAGTATGAGTCAGGGGAAGGGTGGTAGGTCAACTTAATATATGTTATACCATGAACTTGATACTTAATGTCCATAGCACAATGTTCATTAAGTTGACCTTTAACCCCTTCTTTACTCATGAATTGAAGCTGCTATCCCATTTTAGTTCTACTTCCACTTCCAATTAACCTAACTCGTTGTGATACCCAGATTTTGACAAACAATAGTTATTCTTTATTCAACGAATTTACTTAACAAACTTCTACAGCAACAACTCTTAATACAGCTAGTATTCGTTATTATTAGTAGTAGTAGTAGTAGTAGTAATAGTTGAAATTATCTATAGTTTCATTATGATTGAAATAATACAGTTTCAAAGCACTTTATGATGTTGGCTCATTTCACCAAGTCATGGATAAAATTTACCACAGTTTGGGGCTTCTGTTTCAGACATCATGTAAAGGATAGATTTTGACTTTTCAAACCGTAAATTACTGGAGTTCAGTTTATCTAAAGAACAGCCTTATTGGATATGAATTTGAATAATCTGAAAAACCCTTTTGCTAGGAGGGTCACCTGCAATCTAATCTATTGCTTGGTTTTAATGCCAATCTTTAGGGACTGCTAAGAAGGAAGGAAGGAAGAAGGAAGGAGGGAGAGACGGAGGGAGGAGAGAGATGAAGGGAAGGGAAGGGAAGGGAAGGGAGATGGATGCATGCATGGAAGGAGAAAATGGAAAGAAGGAGGAAGGGGGAAGGAGGGCAAAAAAAGCTCTATCCTTTCCCCACATTAAATCTTTAAATAATTACCTGAAATGTCACAGTTTCTCCAGCTATCTGAATGGTAACATCAGCCTGCAAGCTTTTGTCATCCTCCCTCTTCTTCAAGATGAAGGGAAGGGAAGGGAAGGGAAGGGAGATGGATGCATGCATGGAAGGAGAAAATGGAAAGAAGGAGGAAGGGGGAAGGGGGAAGGAGGGCAAAAAAAGCTCTATCCTTTCCCCACATTAAATCTTTAAATAATTACCTGAAATGTCACAGTTTCTCCAGCTATCTGAATGGTAACATCAGCCTGCAAGCTTTTGTCATCCTCCCTCTTCTTCACATTTATAACATTTGTAGGAA